ACCGCCTCTTGCATTTAAGACGCATCACTTTTTTTTTTTTAATTTCTTTTGAGACATGGTCTCACCCTGTGGCTCAGGGTGGCCTTGAACTCCCGTGTAGGCTCTCTAATTTGCAGCAACCCCCGTCAGAGCCTTCGGGAACCCTGGGATTACGGTGGTGGCTCTCTAATAATTTTGTGTTTGTAGCTCTGCTTTGCGCCTTGGAAGCATTCCTTTAAGTCGGTTATTACCAATCATTGGCATCAATCAGCATGATGCTCCTTAACCCAGACTTACTGAATAGAAAGCTTTGGGGTGGATTTTAGAGATCCGAGTTGAAACGATGCACGCCTGTCTCCTTTTGGGGGGGAGTTGAGACAGGGTTTCTCTGTGGCTTTGGAGGCTGTCCTGGAACTCGCTCTGTAGATCAAACTGGCCTCGAACTCTCAGAGATCCGCCTGCCTCTGCCTCCCTAGTGCTAGCGTTAAAGGCGTGCGCCACCCTTATCTCAGCCCCACGATGGACAGCTAAGCCCAACTCTATTTAGCCAAGCCTCCGTTTCTGGAATCTTTTTCTTGCCTTTCCATGGCCCGAATGGCAATCATGTCCATCCCTAAGCGTCGTCTCCTAACCGTTTAAGTCCTAACGCCCCACCGTGGAAAGTACTTCCACGTAACTTTTTCAGAGCCCCTAGAATGTCAACAGGTGTGCCCTGCTTTCTTCGTAAGCCTATATTAAGGGATCTTTAACAGCAACCTTGAACTCTGCTCCATTCTTAAAGAGTACTCCTTTTAGCCAGCCCACCGCAATTTTCAGCCTTCTTTCCTAAGCTGCAGCGCGGTTTTTACTGCCCACGTTTGACACCTCATCTTAGCCCCCGCCCTCCCCTCAAGCTCACACTCATCTCCCTGAAGTCTGTCAAAAATGGTCAGTTCTGCTCACCCTCCCCATCCCACACTCTCTAGCCACTCACTCAACCCAGGGCCTTCTGCATTCAAGCTACATCACCACTGAGTTTAAACTTCAAGCCCCCCGACTTAGTTTTTTTTTTTTCCTTCCAAGTAGCGAGTCCTCTGGAAAAGAAATTGGAACAAAAAGTGTCCTATGTAGAACTCAGCTAGGATAGAGGGGCCCAGAATCTCGTTTGCAGGTTAAATGGTTTACAGTGCGTGTCCGATCGAGATCGGATTGGGCAAAGGCTCGCTCCAAGCCATTGCTTCTTTGACACCATGCTGAGAAGCCGTGTGAAACGGGCTTCTTTCTCTCCAAACACACACACCACAGCCGGGAAAGGTAATAGAGGACCATGAAAAGGGATATAGGCACCATGACTGCGCACACACTGGAAGTCAGTAGGCAGGGATTTATTTCCGCAGCCCATGCCTCCCAGAGCCTGTCAGTCCGAAGGAGGGTGCTGGATGGCATCAGGACCCAGAGGTTTAGGTCCCTGCTTCTGACCCCCTTCCGTGACGGGAATATCACCAGAAATAAGGGTGTCTTGGCCTCCTTGCCCAGCACCAGCTGAACTCCCCGCTGTAAACCCAGACAGGGGAGAGGCGGTGGAGGAAAGAGGCCAAGAAGGCCCCTTTCCTTCAGGACTCTCCTCCTGCGCCCTTTCTGGAACAGGGACACCCTCGTCATCATCCCACAGCGGTTGGGGTCTTGGGTTTGGGGGGCACAGGCGCACGGGCATGCCCACCAGCTCCGGGTGTTTGCGTTTGTAATGGCGCCGGAGAGTGTTGGCTTCGGTGAAACGCACCCTGCACGAGGGACACTGATAGGGACGCTCGCCAGAGTGGATGCGGTGGTGATGCGCCAGCTCCCCCGCCTCGCGGAAGCGGCGAGGGCAGAGCACACAGCGGAAGGGCCGGAGGCCGGCATGGATGTTGCAGTGACGCCGCAAGTGGCTGGACCGCTTGAAGGTCTTGCCGCAATCTTTGCACACGTGTGGCTTCAACTCTGAGTGCGAGATGCTGTGGCGTTCCAGGTCGGAGAGGTAGGGGAAGGCTCTCAGGCACACGGGACAGAAGTGTGGAGCCCTCTTGGGGCCAGAGCCCTGGGGCCCATCTGCTGCTGACCCCTCGGGCACTGTGTAAGGAACTCCCTGATCATCGATCAACAGAAGATCGTTGCTGCCTCCGCTGTCCACTGGTGCTGTCAGCGGGGCTTCGGGCACTGATTTGGGGGGTCGGCCCCGCTTTCGAGGCAGGGAGGACTTGAGAGTCCGATTGGAGGTGGTGGCTCCCCCTGGCGGCCGGCCTCGGCGGCCCCGGGGAACAGGAGGAAGTAAGGCCAGCGGTTTTTCTTCCTCCCCAGACAAAGTTGAAGGCAACGGGTCTGAGCTGGGGTTGTCCATTGAGCAGTGGGGAGCTTGAGTCTGGGTACTGGAGCCGGCTAAGAGAAAAGAGGGGGCGGCATCAGTGTGGTGAGGGTCTAAGCCCCCGTGTATCCCAATAATTCATCTATCCCTTCTAAATCTTTTGAAACCCAAATAACAAGACAATTCTCTACAAGTTGATAAGACATACTGACTGCTCGCCTTCATTGAATCTAGGTTTTCTTTCACCGCAGTTTGAATGAAAATGACCCCCCCACACACACACACAATAGGCTCCTACGTTTGAATGTCTGGTTCCATTAGTGGAACTGTTTGGGAAGGACTAGGAGGTGTGGTGTTGCAGGGTATTTGTACAATGTGAAGATGTGTCGTTGTGATTGGTTTAATGAAAAGCTGAAAATCCAATAGGTAGGCAGGAGAGGCTAGGCGGGACTTATGGGACAGAGAGAAACTCAGGGTTAGAATCGAGCCTGTCAGGAAAGGCCAGGGAGACTCTGAAGAAATTGGACATCCAGTGCAGAGGACAGGCCACGGAGCCAAGTGGCAGAATGTAGACTAATAGAAACAGGTTAAGTCATAAGAGCTAGTTGGGGGGAAAAGAAGATGCTAAGGCCAAGCATTCATAATTAATAATAAGTCTCTGTGTGGTTTGTGAGTTGGTGGCCCAGAGGAAAGTCTGACTACAATGTAGGAGGTGTGGCCTTGATGGAGGAGGTGTTTCACCAGGAGTGAGTTTTAAGATGTCAAAACCCTACAACCAGGCCAGACTCCCTCCTCCTGAAACTTACGGATCAGATGTGAGCTCTTAGTTACTGTTTCAGAACCATGTCAGCCTGTTGGCCCCCAAGCTCCTGACCAAGGTAATCATGGACTCACCCTCTAAAACTGTAAGCAGGCCCCAAATCAGATGCGTTCTTTATAACTTGCTGTGGTTTAGGTTTTTTGTCAAGTCAACAGATCAGTAACTACTACAGCCTTTAAGGTCAAAATGAGCCAAAAAAAAAAAAAAAAATCCAGCTAAGAATGTGAGCCTTGAAACAGCCCATCAAGCCTCGGGCCACAAAGGCCTCAGAAAGCCCTCCCCCTCCCCACTGAGATGGGGAGGAGGTCTGGGAAGGGACAGGTCCCAGGCAGAATCTGTTGATGTGAAAGACATATCTCCAAGGTGCTAAGAGTCTGAGCTTTGAAGTCAGGTAATCAGAAATCAAATGCTGAATGTGTCCCCTCCTTTCTGAGCAGCACTGGCCAGGATCCATACTTCTCCGGGCTCGTTTATGTCCTTTGCAAGATGGAAACCAGGGTTTGTTTGCTTTTCTTTCTTTTTTTTCGTTGTTGTTGTTAACCTACTTAACCTAGACATGCTGTGAACATAATACCCAAAAGCCAGCAAGGCGGCAATGGGTAGCTAAACCTCACATCAACCCTTTGAGGAAACACATTTTCTGTTTTGCAAACAGGGAAACCAAGGCACAGGAATGCCAAGTGAGTTCCTTAAGTTCTCTCCCAATAATGTTCTCTTCCAATCATTTGACAATGATGCCAAATCAGTCTTACTGACCTCAGTGGCCCAGAATATGAGAAAGACCTAGGAAGACTAGGAAGACTAGGGTGTGTGTGTGTGTGTGTGTGTCTGCAAAATCAATATACCAAGGTTGTGGGGAGAATCGACTGGAATAAGGAAGCTTCAAAAATGTCCCCAGGACACTGCCTGGAATACAGAAAACATCCAAAAAACCTCGGCCCTCGTTTCCCAGTGCCCAGACCTTAGAACTGTAGCAATGGAGTGTCCTTGGGGAAGAAGAGGGTTTACAGGTGCAGCTAGAAGGAGATGCGGGGGGGGAGCACCTGCACCCTCTTTAAAGTGGTTGATTGGTTGGTTTTTAAGTTTTCTTTGTGTGCGGTGCTGGTTATCCAACTCGGGGGCCTCACTCCTACTAGGCCTGAGCTACGACCCCGAACCTTGCGCGACCTCCCCCCCAAGTAATATGCACGCGGCATGAGGTCCACGCGGGAGCAACTTTTCCAGGGTCACATGGCTCGCGCCACGCGGTAGCCTGGGAGAGGAGCTGGGTTTCTGGAACATACCTAGGAGGCCACAGGGTGATCCCTCCGACCCTCCCCCACCCACACAGTCCGGTGGGGACTGTCAGCCCCGAGTGGCCCAGCCCGCGAGCGGGGCGGGGCCCTGGCGGTGCGGTGGCCAATAAGCGGCGCGGGGACACCGGCGGCAGGGGCTGCCTGGGAAGGGGGGGGGTCTGCGCGCGCGAGCCCGGACGGCTCGGCGGGGCGCGAGCGCCTGCAAGGCGGTGGAGAGCGCAGAAGCAAAGCAGGGGGCCGGGGGGGAAACAGGTGCCGGGGGCGCGCCCGGGGCGCGCGCTCCCGGGACCACCTCCTTCTCCCCCCCCCCGTCCCCTCCCCTCCCCCGCCCCCGGGGACCCCCGCCTCTGGGTACCTCATTTGCATGCTGCCCGGGGCTCGCGTGTGTGTGTGCGCGCGCGCGCGCGCGCCCGCGCCCTCGCTCGCGCCGGGGGGCGTCGAGGCCGGAGCGTGGGGAGGGGCGGGAGAGAGGGGGGGGCCCTGCCCCTAGGCGGCGGCGGGGCGGGGGCGGCGGAGCGGGCGCCGGGCCCCGCCCTCCCCGCGGCCCCGCCCCCCGCCGCCCGCCGGGAACAAAGGGGCCGCTCTGGGTCCCAAGGCCCGGACGCTCCTGCAGCGCAGCGCGCCTGCGCGCCAGCCGCCTCCGTCGTGCCCGTGGCGAGTGGCGCGCGGGCAAGGCTCGCCAGCCACCTGCAAACGCCTTCTCCTCCCTCCAAAGCACCCCCGACCCGGTGACCCAATCAAGTCCAGGGACCGGAGAGAGGAGAAGCGGGAAATGGCTGCTCAGTGCCCCTAAGCAACATGGCGCCCGGCGGCTTCAAAGCCCCGTTGGGGTGAGAAGCGGGTAGCGTGGTGCTTGGTGGTTCCTTAACTCCGTGTCCGTTTTGAACACACTCGGGTTATTTTTGTCCTCTTTCCCTTCCTCCTCTCCTCCTGCAACTCCACAACCTGCCCAGCAGGAGTCCGAGGCCAGGAACAAAAAAATAATGAAAAAAAAAGGAACCGCCGTCTGCGAGCCCCCCACGCTGCGCGGCGGCCCCGCCCATTCCGTCTGCCCTCAGCCAACATGGCGCCTGCCTGGCTTCACTGACCCTCCGGCGCTGGGAAAGGGGAGCCAAGGGGGCGGGAGAAAGGTGGGACGGGGGGAGGGGGGACTGAGCAGGGGCGGGGGACCGGCTGGGGGGGGGGGAGGGAGAAGGGAGCCGAAGCGGAAGTCGAGGGGCCCCGCGGGTGGAAGTGACGCTGACCCCGCTGCCCAAAAATGTCGGCGCCCAGAGGGAGGTGTAAGTAATTAAGAGAGGAAAGCGGACGGACTTTTCCCCCGGCCTCCCGGCGTCCTGCCTGGCCTCCGGGACCCCCGCCGCGCCGAAGCGAGCCGCTCCCGCCTCGTCCCCGGGCCGCCCGGACCTGCTCGCCCCTCCCCTCCCTTCCCCCGCCCCGGCCGCACCTTCCAAAGACGGGGGCAGGGGGTACAAAGGCCTGGCTCGAGAGATCGAGCGGGGTGGGGTGGGGGCCGCCCCCTCCGCAGCACGGCGCGCACACACACACACACACACGCACGCACACACGTGCACACGCGCGAGCACACACACACACACGCAGTGGGGGGCGGGAGGGGCGGGGCTTGTGGCCGTTGGGGGCGGGGCTGGGAGAGGGGAGGAGCTTGCGGGGGCGGGGCCTGGCGGAGTTTGTTGGGGAGGGATCCTGTAAGGAGGGGAGAGAGGCGGAGGCTGGGTGTGGGGAAATGGGAGGGGCTTCTGCAAAGGGTGGGGCCCGGCAGAGAGGCGTGGGCCGTGGGCAGGGGTCCGGAGGAGGGGCCTAGAGTTGGAGAGCGTTTGGAGAAACTTGTTTGGAGGTCGGTGGGCCAGCGGGGCTCAGGGACGGAGGCGGAGGTTTGCCCCCAAGGGGTGGCTTGGAGGGAAGGTCCACATGGGTATGCGATCATGAAAGTTTTAGGTGGAAGCAGGTTAAGGAAAGGCGGGAAAAAAAATGATGGGGAACTACGATGCGGAGATGTGAGTTATTTGGAGGAAAAGTTGGGTGGGATTTGAAGGCAGCGGAGAGCTAACTTGGAAAAGTCAAATCTACTTGGAAGCAGGGGATAGATGAGCAAAGAGGAGCCGAAGTATCCGCACTGCTCAGCTAATCCTTTGCTGTGCGTCGGCTTCCCCAAGGACGTCGGCCGTGTTGCTGCGATTTTTGCTTAGCTCACGACCCGTCACTGTATGAGGCAGGCGCTAGTGTACCCCGTTTCCCTGGTGAAGAGTTTCAGTCGGGCTTTATCTGAAGCTCCTGAGCCGGTGTGGTCTCGGAAGAAATATGAGGCGAATGTGCTCAGCCCCGAATCCTTCTAGTCTCCGAAGCAGAGCTAAGCAAGAGTAGGAGGGCCAGGGCTTGGAGCGGATGCAGAGAGCGCCTTCAAAATCAGAAGCAGGAGGGTTTGTAGGGAGGGAGGCGTTTGCAGTGGTTGTGGCTCGGCGGTGGGCGTGTCTTAGCATTGGGAGGGTCTCCTAGAGTGTTTCAGAGAGCCCAGGGAAGGGATGGCCAGTGGGGAGGCGACTCTTAGTCTGCTTCTGTGTCTCTTTTACACCCCAGAGACACCCGCAACCCCCCACCGCTGGACCTGCCACCATGGACGAGCCCTCCATGCCTGGGGTTCCTGCCCCTGTTGTGGCTCCAGGGCCGGCCCCGCCCGCCACCACTCCCCGAGTCCCCTTTCACTGCAGCGAATGTGGCAAGAGCTTCCGTTACCGATCGGACCTACGGCGCCACTTTGCCCGGCACACGGCGCTCAAGCCCCACGCATGTCCTCGCTGCGGCAAGGGCTTCAAGCATAGCTTCAACCTGGCTAACCACCTGCGCTCACACACGGGCGAGCGGCCCTACCGGTGCTCCGCCTGCCCCAAGGGATTCCGAGACTCCACGGGTCTGCTGCACCACCAGGTGAGTCCTGGGGGCCACGCGGGGCTGAGACGCCGGGCCTCCATTCCACTGAAAGGCAGCAGGATAGGGGAACACGCTCCTTCCCCAGCTTCCTCCTCGTAGAAGATTTCACTTTCTGCCAAAAACCAAAACCCCAAGGAAGGCCTGCAGAGTTACCTTTGCCCCACACAAGTGTTCCTCCACCTCTCCTGCTGAAGGCTCTGTAGCCTTGTGTTTACAGTTCTCTTCCTTGCCATCTTGAACATACGTTGACCCATGTGCACCCAACTCCATTATTCTGCAGTGACCAACTGAAGGCTTTCCCTACACACAACCCAGGCCTTCAAGGGACCGCAAGGCCTGCAGAAAACGTATTGTCCCTTCAGATGACCAGGAGCCAGGTAGAGGGTAAAGAAGGTAGTTCTCTAAGGGAGAAGCTGAGAAGCAAATTAGAAAGAAAAACATTTTTTTCAGGGTATGGTGATGCATTCTTATATTCCCAGCGATTGGGAGGTGGGGACAGGAGGATCAGTGAAGATGGGAGTTTTCTGTCCTACCTGGTCCCGCAGCTGCTGCAGCCTCAAATAAACACACCGACGCCGTATTATTTATAAAACTGTTTGGCCAACGGCTTAGGCCTCTTACTGACTAGCTCTGTCTTAATTATTGATACATTTCTACTGGTCTACGTATTGCTACGAGGCTGTGACATGTTACCGCACTGACAGTGCAGCCTCTCTCTGCCTTCCTCTCCCCGCCCCCATTCTCCTCCTCTCCCGGCTCCGCCTATCTTCCTGCCTCTACTGGCCAATCAGTGTTTTACTCATCAACCAATAAGAAACACAGATACGGAAGGACATTCCCCCATCAGATCAGGAGTTCAAGATTATCCTCAGCCACCACAGGGAGTCTGAGGCCAGTTTAGGCTGTATGAGACACTGTCACAAACAACGAAACAAAATTTATTGTGTAGGAGTAAATCGGGAGAGCTGCAGGCTGCCGTAGACAAGAGGGCACGGTAATGCCTAGGTAAGACCTGAAGTGTGGGAAGTCCACTCGGGAAAAGCATTGTAGATGGAAACAACAGCAAGTTCAAAGGCCCCGAGGTGCACAGGACCCTGGAGTATTCACAGGTGTCACATTGGCTTTTCCTGCGGAGAAACAAGCTGGCACACTCATCCCAGGTAGGACACTAGCAGGAGACCAAAATATAGTTGTAGCAAAGTTCAGTGTGGCAAATCAGAGTTTAATCGGGCTTACTCAGAGAGCACAGGTAAGGGTTTCTAGCAGCATGTGTGACCCCCAAGTAGGTACATCACCACAAAGGCCCAGGCCATCATGGATGATGGCCTGGTGGAAGCTGCATGATGGAGTCCTACATTCAGTTATCTTCCACTTCCTAATACTCTAATACCTCACAAGGTCCCTTGCAGCTGGGGAGAGTAAGAGTTGGACTCCCTTGCAGCTGAGGAAAGGAGGAGTTGGACTCCCTTGCAGCTGAGGAGAGGAGGAGTTGGACTCCCTTGCAGCTGGGGAGAGTAAGAGTTGGACTCCCTTGCAGCTGGGGAGAGTAAGAGTTGGACTCCCTTGCAGCTGGGGAGAGTAAGAGTTGGACTCCCCTGCAACTGGGGAGAGTAAGAGTTGGACTCCCTTGCAGCTGAGGAGAGGAGGAGTTGGACTCCCTTGCAGCTGGGGAGAGGAAGAGTTGGACTCCCTTGCAGCTGGGGAGAGGAAGAGTTGGACTCCCTTGCAGCTGAGGAGAGGAAGAGTTGGACTCCCTTGTAGCCAGAGAGAGTAATAGCTGGACTCCCAGGAGCTGCCTTGGCTTTCTAGCTCAGGTATTCTCCAAAATAGAAAACAAACAAGTAAAAGCAACCAGTGTTGCTGGACAGTGGTGGCACACGCCTTTGATCCCAGTACTCGGGAGGCAGAGTCAAGCGGATCCCTGTGAGCTTGAGGCCAGCCTGGTCTACAGAGTGAGTTCCAGGATAGTCAGGGCTGTCACACAGAGAAATCCAGTCTTGGGGGCAGAAAAGAAGAATTGAGAAAAGCGCACAGCTCAGGGAGGGCTTGTGAAGAGGGTGTGTACAGCACCTCTTTAAGGAGATAATTATTCCTCCCCATCTCCTTAGCTGCTTCTTGACCAGGTAACTGGCAGGCCCACAGTAATATGCAGTGTTTGAGGTAGTATAGAACGTAGTGTCTCCACCCAGGGCCCAAAGTAAAATCTAGATCCAATTTTCAGATGTATGTGTTTTTTGCTGGTATGTATGGCTGGGCACTACATTCACTGCCGGTGCTCCAGTAGGTAAAAAAGAGATCATTGGATCCCGTAGAACTGGAACTGCCTTGCCGGTGTTGGGAATTGAACCCAGGTCCCCTGCAGGAGCAACAAGTTTTCTCCTAACTGCTAAACCAGTCCTTCTAGCTCCCCTGTTCTTTCCTTAAAATACCTTTATTTCATTACTTGATGTTTCCTTGATTGATTTGTGACAGGATTTCATGATGTAGGCCTGATTGGCCTCCAACTCACACGCTTGGCCCTCCGCTGCCCCCTGCCTCCCAAGTGCTGGAATTGCAGGCTTGAGCCACCGTGCCCCACTCCCATTTCTTATACAGGGTAGGATGTGCCACATCTCACTTTACAAGAGTTGGTTCTCACTCTTTCCACCATATGGACCTCGGGGATCAAACTCGGGTCACCAGACTTAGATGCAAGTACCTGCACCCAGCTAAACCGTGTTGCGAACCCAGATTCAATTCTCTTGGCTAGGAGGAGGCAGCTTTGCTTTCCCGGGCCTCGGTGAAGCCCTCCTGCCTCTTCATGGTGGTGTTTTATTTAACTTTTCACGAGGGGCACTTGCGAAGCGTCCCGTCATAAGGAGGTGGGGGCCCTTCTCGGTGGCCTCCACGCCTGCTGATACCTGTCTAGTAACCTAACAGGAGGACAGCGGGGAAAGCTAGATCATGCCCTGGGAGGAGAGGCGGAGAGCTTGGATCAGGTCTCGTGGGAATCAGTTGCCGGGCCCGGATGCTCAGCCCCGCCCCTGTGCTCTTGCTCCCAGGTCGTCCATACAGGTGAGAAGCCCTACTGCTGTTTGGTGTGCGAGCTCCGCTTCTCCTCTCGCTCCAGCCTGGGCCGCCACCTCAAGCGGCAGCACCGGGGGGTTCTTCCCTCTCCCCTGCAGCCAAGCCCGGGCCTGCCTCCCCTGAACCCCCCCTGCTCAGTGTGTTGCAACGTGGGTCCCTGTTCGGTTTGCGGAGGCGGAGGCGGAGGGGCCGGCGGAGGAGAGGGCCTGGAGGGAGCCGGAGCGACCAGCTGGGGACTGGCAGAGGCGGCAGCCGCCGCGGCGGCCTCGCTGCCCCCGTTCGCATGTGGCGCCTGTGCCCGGCGCTTCGACCACGGCCGGGAGCTGGCTGCCCACTGGGCGGCGCACACTGATGTGAAGCCATTCAAGTGCCCACGCTGCGAGCGTGACTTCAATGCGCCCGCCCTGCTGGAACGCCACAAGCTTACACACGACCTGCAGGGGGGCAGTGCACCCCCGACGCAGGTCTGGGCCCCCGGCGGCGGGGGTCCAGAGGTGGCAGGAGACGGCGACACAGTGGAGGTGGGGGATGGCCCGCCAGCCTGGGACGCCGGGCTGCTTCTGAGCCCCACTGGGGCGAGCATGCCCAAGCTGGAGGCCCTGCTCCCCGAGGGCGAGGGTGCGGGGGATGCCCGGGCTCCTGCTGCGGCAGCCGAGGCGTCCTCGGAAGACACACTGTACCAGTGCGACTGCGGGACGTTCTTTGCGTCTGCCCCCGCCTTGGCCAGCCACCTAGAAGCGCACTCGGGCCCGGCCACCTATGGCTGCGGGCATTGCGGGGCGTTGTATGCAGCGCTGGCCGCCCTGGAGGAGCATCGGCGTGCTAGCCACGGTGAGGGCACCGGGGAGGCAGCCCCTGATGGTGAGGGCGAGCAGGTGCTTGGAGGGCCGGGGCCGGGCTCCTCCAGCCGTGGCAAGAAAATCTTTGGCTGTTCCGAGTGCGAGAAGCTGTTTCGTTCGCCTCGCGACCTGGAACGGCATGTGCTGGTCCACACAGGGGAGAAGCCGTTCCCGTGCCTGGAGTGTGGCAAGTTTTTCCGCCACGAGTGCTACCTCAAGCGCCACCGGCTGCTGCATGGCACAGAGCGGCCCTTCCCCTGCCACATCTGTGGCAAGGGCTTCATCACGCTCAGTAATCTCTCGAGGCACCTGAAGCTCCACAGGGGCATGGACTGAATAGCCAGGCCACCCCGGCCCGCCAGAGCCAGAGCAGAAGATGGGGCCCTTACCTGGAAAAATGGTGCCACCCAGAACCCACACAGGACCACGGCAATGCATCCTTCAGCAAAGGGGTCCAAGAACATAATTGTTGGGAACTGAGATCTACAGACAGACTCTTGACCTTGAGACCCCCGGAATGTAGGCATGCTCAAATCAACTGGCCTCCGAGACTGGGGACCTAGGAATGAAAAAAACGGGTCTCCACTAACACCTCTCAGCAGATACAGCAGATAACAGGTGGGCACCCCCGTCCTACCACCTACTCCCTGAGAGCCATCATTCCCAGCGACCTTCATCTGGGGAGTGGGAGGGTGCAGCATCCTGGAATCTCCAGCAGCCCCTCCAGATGGCCACCGGTGGCCCCTGAAACATGAATATAGCCAGAATCTGCCTTTCCCCATTTTACTTGCGATGCTGAAAGAGGACCAGGGTAGATGCCCCCACCTTCAATTAACCTACTCGCAGATTAGATCTCCCTTCCTGCAGAATGGCCTGACCCTACTGACCGTCCCCCATCCTGAACACTAGATTAGGCTGGCCCAAAGTCTCCCTCTCTGCCCCGTAGGTTGGATTGACCCGGATACACATACTCCTGTGCACTTGGAATGGGCTCCACTCTCCTTAGAGTAATAGGGCAGACATTCCCTTATGCTGTAGAGAGCAGTCCCCTGCCCGCGGCTGTCCCAGTCCTGTGACCTGGTGGAGGTGGTAGACACTGGGGTTTCCCTCCCCTCAACTGTAGTTCCTATCTGTCTTCCCGTTGCTACTACCTTGTCTCTGTGTTCCAACTCCAAGAGGAAAGGGGGACTTGGCTAGGGGTCTCTCCCCCATGAGCCTCAACCTCACCCCCTGGTCTCCCCAATATCTCTGGGACTCCAATAAACCTCATTCTGTCAATCACTACCATCTCGTTTGCTGATCCTGGATTTCAGGGAGGTGGGTTCCCTAGGACCTAGAAAGACGGCCCAGCAGTTAAAAACGCACGCCTTTAATCCCAGCACTCAGGAGGCAGAGGCAGGCGGATCTCTGTGAGTTCGAGGCCAGCCTGGTCTACAAGAGCTAGTTCCAGGACAGCCTCCAAAAGCCTCGGAGAAACCCTACCTCGAAAATAAAAAAGAAGCACGCTGTCAGGGGACCAGAGTTCAGTCCTAGCACTAACAGTTTGCTCATAACCACCTGTAACCAAGCTCCAGAGGATCTAGTATCCTCCTGGGGCCTCTGTGAGCATTGTACTCACATAAGTGTTGCACAAACCCACGTACATATACAAATCATTTCTTTTTAATCTTAAAAAAAATAGGTCGGGGCTGGAGAGATGGCTCAGAGGTTAAGAGCACTGACGGCTCTTCCAGAGGTCTTGAGTTCAATTCCCAGCAACCACATGGTGGCTCACAGCCATCTACAACTCAATCTGGTGTGTATGTAATAAATAAATAAATCTTTAAAAAAAAATAGGTTCAGCCAGGCATTGGTGGCGCACGCCTTTAATACCAGCACTCAGGAGGCAGAGGCAGGCGGATCTCTGTGAGTTCGAGGCCAGCCTGGTCTACAGAGCGAGTTCCAGGACAGCCTCCAAAACAATACAGAGAAAACCTGTCTCGAAAAACAACAACAACAACAAAAAGAATAGGTTCACTAGGTACCAGTCCTTGAGGGAGAGTCAAGAGTCTCTGCCTGGATTTATTTATAAGCAGTTAATGGTTGGTAGGGTGTGGGGGGGTTGATGACTCACAAGCACCGCCTCCTCCCTGAGCATAGGCAGTTAATGAGCAGAGGGAAAGGGAGAGACACTTTCCTCAGTGGTGTAGCTACTGGTAAGTTGCCCGCACTCGTGTAAGTACCCAGATCCTCAAACCCTCTCAAGAAGGCTTGGGTACCTCTTCAAATCCTTCGGATCAGGGACATCTCCCCTAAATCAAGGAACACCCACCCCCACTGCACATGTCCCTTGGGATCCAAGCAACCTCTTTTTTTTTTTTTTTTTTTTCCGAGACAGGGTTTCTCTGTATTGTTTTGGAGACTGTCCTGGAACTCTCTCTGTTGACCAGGCTGGCCTCGAACTCACAGAGATCCGCCTGCCTCTGCCTCCCTAGTGCTGGGATTAAAGGCGTGCGCCACCAACGCCTGGCTCCAAGCAGCCTCTTGAAGAGGCGCCAGGCCTTAGACTCCGCTTTCTGCAGATGAACGTGAACTTTAGACCGTGTTGGGACAGGACCAGCCTGTCAGAGAAGAGGGCCGCTCATGCGTGCTCCTTGGTGGTCCTGCGCCGCGCATCCATACTAAGCATTCTAAACTCTAGATCAGAGACCCTACATTGAACCAGGCAGAAAATGCTGGCCCTCCCAGAGCTTACTATATTCTGATGTGTGGGCACAGGGGGAGGGAGGAGTCACATGAATACAGTAATTTCAGATGGTAACGGAGAGCCTTGACAGAAAGTGGTGGCGGCCGCTTGGTGCAAGTCTGCTACTTAGGACGTTGAGGCTGGAGACCAGAAGTCCAACGCCAGCCAGCCCCGAGGACTTAGAGCCCAACTCGGTAATGAAAGGTTGTGCAGGGGATGTAGCTCAGTTGGTGAAATGCTTAACTCGGAAACATGAGAACCTGACTTTAATCTCCAGAATTCACAAAATCTCCAGTTGTGATGAAGCTGGAGAAACAGATGGGATCGCTGGGTTCTCTGTTCAGTCAGTCTAGGCTTATTTGCGAGGCCCAGGCCAATGAGAGATCTTATCTGAAAGGACATGGACACATTGTCATGGGTGGCACCCGAGGTTGTCCCCTGGTTCACACACACACACACACACACACACACACACACTGTTTGGAGGAAAGGATTGAAAAGAGCTGGGGATGGAGTTCAAGGACAAAGTATCTAGACTTCACCAGTGAGGAGCTAGGGCAGGGTTGCCTAAAATGCATCAAAGAGTGACTGGGGTGTGGCTGTCCGTGATCACAGCCGAACGCCCAACGTGAACTACCTGGCTCTGCATCACGTGTCTCTACGCCCTGACCCCCTCCTAGAACCCTCACACTAGATTATAAAGCTGGCAATGGCTGGGCATGATGGTGCATGCCGCCTGTGCTAGTTAGGGTTTCTACTGCTGAGGACGCACCATGACCACGGCAACTCTTATAAAGGAAAACATTTAATTGGGGTGGTTTACAGCTTCAGAGGGTCAGTCCACGGTGCAACCCTGTGGCGTGCAGGCAGACACGGTGCTGGAGAAGGGGCTGGGAGTCCTACATCTTGACCCAAAGGCGACAGGAAGTGGTCTGTCTCACACCACTGTCTCCCAACAGGGAATGGTTTGAACGTATCTGAGACCTCAGAGCCTGCCTTACAGTGATACGCTTCCTCCCAACAAGGCCAGGCCTCCTGATAGTGCCACTCCCTTTGGGGGGGACATCTTGTTTTAAACCACCACACCATTCCCTAGGCTCCCAAACATTTAAAAAGCTGTGTGTGTGAGAGAGTGTGTGTGCGCGTGTATGTGTGTGTGCGTGTGCATGTGTGTGTGTGTGTGTGTGTGTTGCTGGAGTATAAGGTTATGAGTATAAGGACCCAAGTTCAGTTCCCAGCCCCCATACCAGGCAGCTCACAATCTCCTGTGATTCCAGTTCCGGGGATCCTACACCTCTGACCCCTGAGGGCACTCCCACTCCAGAGCACATGCAAAATTCAAAGGAATTCTTGTGTGACAGGATACCGCGTGCCCCACGGTAGCCTCAAGCTGGCCATACCATAGAGGATACCCTGAGCTTCCTAGTCTCCTGCCACCACCTCCCAAACGACAAGATCACAGGCGCATGCCACATGCCTGGTGGAGAACCATGTTCTACAAAACTCCGCTGCTTTGGAAGGTTAAATGTAGGAGGAGACTTCTAGGAAGCTTCTGTGACTGCTGGTAGCCAGCAGTGTCCTGTATCTTAGTCTGGGGATCATTCATTCATTCATTCATTCATTCATTCATTCACTAATGTGGGTGTGGTGAGTGTACTTGTTCATATACACACGAGTCTATGTGAATGTGTGAGCATGTGTGTGTGCGTCTGCCTGTGGAGACCAGAGGTTAACTTGAGGTGTCTTCTGCAATCACACTTCGCCTTACTTCATTTTTTACTACAGTGTGTGTGTGCATGTGTGTGAATGTGTTTGTGCTTGTGTGTGTATGTGCTTGTGTGTGCATGTGTGTATGCATGTATGTGTGTGTGTGCTTGTGTGTGCATGTGTGTATGCATGTATGTGTGTGTTTGCTTGTGTGTGTGCTTGTGTATGTGCTTATGTGTGCCTTTGTGTATGTATTCTTTTGTGTGTGTGTGTGCTTGTGTGTGCATGTATGTATGTGTGTGTGCATGTGTGTACATTTGTGTGCTTATGTGTGCATTTGTACACATGCTATGGCATGGGCATGGAGGGCAGAAGGCAACTTTCAGAACTTCTTTCTCTCCTACCATGTGTGTCCCAGGGATCCACCCTGGCCACAGGGCCAGCAGCTAGCGTGTGTAACCACTGCACCACCGGGCCAGCGGCTAGCGTGTGTAACCACTGCACCGCTGGGCCAGCGGCTAGCGCGTGTACCGGTTGCACCCTCTCACCAGCCCCCCACCTTATCTTCTGGGACGGTCTCTGAAACTGAAGCTTGCACTTGGCGAGGCTAGGTGGCTGGCTAATGGGCTGCAGGTGTCTGTCTTCTCTCGTTACAGAATCCTGCTGCACCCCCTGCTTCCATGGGTGCTGGGGACACGAACTCAGATCCTCGTGCTTGCAAAGCGGGCACTTTACCCAACAAACCATTCCCCAGCCCTCGTTTTTTGCTTGTTTTGTTTCTATTTTACAGTGCCGTGATGGAAACAGGGCCCTGCGCAAGGCAAGTGTTCTACCATCCGGCCAGGGTTTCAGAAACAGTTTCACTTCATCGTTCATTCACATTATGGGCTTTTTGGTTTGTTTTTTGTTTTTTTGTTTGTTTGTTTGGTTTTTGAGACAGGTTTTCTCTGTATTGTTTTGGAGGCTGTCCTGGAACTCGCTCTTGTAGACCAGGCTGGCCTCGAACTCACAGAGATCTGCCTGCCTCTGCCTCCCGAGTGCTGGGATTAAAGCCGTGCGCCACCAACGCCCAGCGTTGTGCAATACTTACATGAGTGCAATGCTCACGGAAGCTCCAAGAGGATAGTAGATCCTCTGAGTCTTATGCATCAACATGGAAGAAAAGCTTCGAGAGATATTCAGCGGGGAAATAAGACTTTTTTTTGGCTAAGACCAACAATTGCCAACTTGAGAAAGTTCTATCCCTTGGGAACAATGTCATTCCCCAGAGATGCCAGACTTGAGCGGTGTTCTCAAGTTGGGGCCAGAGATGTTGAGTAAAGGTGCATGCTGCCCAGACCGACAGCCCTGGGACCCCCTGGTGAAAAGAAAGGACTCCTGCAAGTTGCCCTCTGATCTCCATGGATGCACCATGGCAAATACATGCTACACCCCAAAAATAAGTAAGCATGTAAAAATCAAGAGGTATTTTCTAGGGTTGGGGAGATGGCTTAGTGGTTAAGAGCAGAGAGTCAGCACCACCATCTGTAACTTTAGCTGTAAGTGACGCCCTCTTCTGGCCTCCATGGGAAACAGGCACAGTTGCATCACACAGATATCCATGCAGGCAGAACACATATATGCATGAAATAAATAGGGTTTATGTTTTTTTTTTTTTTGGTTTTTCGAGGCAGGGTTTCTCTGTATTGTTTTCGAGGCTATCGGTCCAGCCTGGCCTCGAACTCATAGAGATCCGCCTGCTTCTGCCTCCCGAGTGCTGGGATTAAAGGCGTGCGCCACCACCGCCCGGCTTGTTTATGTTTTATTTAATATATATAACGCATATGTACATATACATACATACAGCATTCTCCATTCAGCAATGGAAGTCAAGAAGCAAGACATACTCTTTCTGAGTGAAATAAATTTGGGGGTACACGCTATCTCAAATCTATAGTGCCAGTACTTGGGAGGGAGGCAGAGGCAGTAGTATCCAGAGTCCAAGGGTGCCCCAGGATAAAGGAAGCCCTGAGTTGCCAAAAATACAAGAATAAAACCAAAAAGTCTGAGTTGGAGACACAGGGCCTGCCCCTCTGGATACAGACACTGCCCCCTGAGGAAAAGACAGGTCCTGACAGGAGGCCAAGGGAACTGAGTATGGACAGTCACCAGGGTTGTCCAAGAGACAGAAACCACAAGTGACTGGTTTGAATCTGGGAGGCGCGCGGGGGGGGGGGGGCAAGGAAGCCATGGTTACCACCCACCTCGCCTCCACCAGAACCTTTGTAATTCAGGGAAGACAGTGAGGAGAGAAAAGGATCGCTTCCTGAGTGGTAGCGCAGGCTCGTAATGCCAGCCAGCACCGGAGAAGCTGAGGCAGCGGCAATCCTTGTGCGTTCCAGGCAAACCCGAGATACACAGCAAGACTCTACCTAAAAACAAAACAAAGCCTGGCGTTGGTGGCGCACGCCTTTAATCCCAGCACTCAGGAGGCAAAGGCAGGTGGATCTCTGTGAGTTCAAGGCCAGCCTGGTCTACAGAGCATACTCCGGGGACAGGCTCCAGAGCTACACAGAGAAACCCCGTCATGAAACAAAACAAAACAAAACAAAAAAAAAATCATGCTGTTCCCAAGCACATACATGCCCGGAGCTGACTGCCAAACCTGCCTCAGTGTGTCCCAAGTTTGACAGTTGTTGTGACTGGTCTGTGGCTGGGATCAGCCTGCAAACTGGACAGGCGCGCTACCAACGGAGCTGCCTCACCATCCCACTGTCTTTCATGTGCCCACAACTGGATGGCACTCGCAGCAGGGCGGTTCCCAGACGGCGTTGGCCATCCCCAGTGATTCACAAATACTCAAGGGCTGTCAGAAGTAAGTACAATATTGAAAGACAAGGGTCAGCTTGGCCAGACGGCTCAGCAGATAGAGGCGCTTGCTGCCCAGCCTGGTGACCTGAGCTCAGTCTTTGGGACAGACGTGGCGGAAGAGGAACTGGTTGCTGCAAGGGTCCCTCGACTTCCACATGCACACCTTAGCACAAAGCACCCCCAAGCCCCCACTTAGTCAATGCGTAGATGTGACGAAATCATCATCATCATTGTCATCATCTTCATCGTCGTCGTCATCGATTCAGAGACATTGTTTCTCTGTGGAGCCCTGGCTGTCCTGGAACTCGCTCTGTAGACCAGGCTGGCCTCAAATTCACAGAGATCCGCCTGCCTCTGCCTCCCTAGTGCGGGGATTAAAGGTGTGTGCCTAGTGACAAAATAATTTTTAAAGAAGAAAATTGGTCTGGAGAGATGGCTTAGAAGTTAAGAGCTTTTACTGCTCTTCCAGAAGACTCAAGTTCAATTCCCAGCCCTAACATATGCACCCCCACCCCCCCGCGAGATCTGCTGCCCTCTTCCGGCCTCCTTGCGCACTACACAAATGTGCGCACACTCCAACTCACACATAAACAAAATATTTAAGTAGTGATAGTAATTCTACTTTAAGGAAGGAAACGGGATCGTTTTAGATAGCACACACCGGTCATACATCTCTAGCAATGTCTGTGGCAAGGAAAACATCACAGAAACACGGCCAGAGGAAGGGTATCACAAAGAGAAGGAAGCAGGAAGCGGGAAACTGAGCGAGGGAATGCGGGGCCTGATTGTGCCTTTGTAACCCTAGCATTCTGGACACTGAGGAAGGAGGACCACGAGTTTTAACGCCAACCCGAGCTACATAGCTAGGCTTGGCTCCCCATCCGGCCCCTCCCATCACCAGGAATTAGGTGAGTAGCCAATAGAACCTCATACATGGGATACACGGGATTTGAGGGCTAACGGGGGAAGGGCTGGTTTTTATTGTTGAGCATGAAGAGGAACCTCAGGAGGTGTTCAACTCAAAAACGAGGTGTGGCCGAGCCAGCCAGCGAGACCGCTCAGCCAGTCAAGGAGCATCGCTTCCAAACAGACCCACGCGAGCTCCATCTCTGCAACCCACAGGGTGGGAGAGGACTGACTCCCGCAGGCTGTCCTCTGATCTCTGCCGGCGTGCACACACTTTGGTTTTATTTCGTTTGTTGAAGTAAGGAGCTGTAACTTGCGGGGCTGGAGTCTAGGCTGGGAGCAGAGGAGCCAGGGAGAAAGTTATCTCGTGGTAAGGATGCAGTGTGCCCCTCAATCAGCCCCTTCCCAAGCAGGCGGTGCCTTCCCAGCAGCCCAGCCACCTCTCACGTGGACCTGCCTCCACCCGCTGGCCTTCGTCTCCCCGCATCCCGCCCGCCTCCACGCGGGTGCCACGGGAATGTCTCCAAAACGCTAATCCGATCATATGACTCTCCTGCTTAAAACTTCCTCAATGACGCCTCAGTTCCCTCCGAATAACCCCAAGCCCAGCCCGGACTAGAAACACGCCACAGTCCTTGCACGGGATCCAGGCTTCTCTGGGACAGCTCTGTCCACCACGGATGGCCTCTCCAGATCCCACCCCGCCCCACAAGTAACAAGTCCCCTTGTTCTCTTCCATTTGAAATTCTTCCTGTTTACCCATGTCTAAATTTCTTTGAGACTAGGGCTCTTCTAGTAAAAGCTGGCCTCCAGCTCCTTATTATTATTGTATGGAATCTTCTTTTTGTTTGTTTTGTTTTTGGAGACAGGGTTTCTCTGTGTAGCTTTGGAGGCTGTGCGGGAACTCGCTCCGTGGACCAGGCTGGCCTTGAATTCAGAGAACCCCTGATTCTGTCTTGAGTGCTCGGATTAAAGGCATGCGCCCATTGCCCGGTTTATTGTTTTTCTTTATTTTTGTTTTCGATTTTTGAGACAAGGTTTCTCTGTATTTATTGTCATGGAGGCTATCCTGAAACTCGCTCTGTAGACCAGGTTGGCCTCGAATTCACAGAGATCCGCCTGCCTCTGCCTCCCGAGTGCTGGGATTAAAGGCGTGCGCCACCAACGCCCGGCAACCACTGCCCGGTATATTGTATGGAATCTTCAATGCCCTGTCTCCGCCTCCTAAGTGTTAGGATTGCAAGTATGAACCGTCATGCCTTCTTTGTCTCCTTTCTTTCTTCTCTTTCATCATCTTCCTTCTTCTCCCCCTTCCTCTCTCCCTCCCCCTTCTTTAAAAGATCTCTTTTTAGTTTCTGTGCTTTGCCTGCCGGTATATCTGTCCACTCCCCACGCATGCTCAGTGCTCTGGAAGCCAGAAGGTGGTTCTAGATCCCCCTGGGAACCAGAGTTTTATAGAAGGACTGTGAGCTGCTTTGTGGGTGCTGAGAGCCCAATGGCGGTCCTCAAGCAAGAGCAGTCGGTGTTTTTAGCCATGGAGCTCTTGCCCCAGGCTGCTGACACGGGCACACACAGAGACTGAGCAGGCAGTTCTTGGGGTGTTCTTCATGTGACCCCTGGGAGGACCCCCTCATCCCCACACAGTGAGCGCCTCCCTTCTGTTGTTTTGGTTTTTTTTTTTTTTTTAGGACATACAAGATTGCACTGGGGCAGGATGTTATTCCTCAGATATCTTACTGAGATTTTCAGCCATTCACAGTGACGTTCAAGGCGGTGCCAGCAGACTAGTGAGATGCCTCAGCCGGTACAGTCACTCGTACCCAAGCCTGACCACCAGGGTCGGGTCCCAGGATGCACATCCTCGGTGAGAAGTGACCCCTGAAAGTTGCCCTCTGACCTCCGCACACGCACTACCATGTGTGTGCACCCCACACACATAAATAACAAACACACATAATCAAAATGAACTAATTGGATTTTGTTTATTTGGAAGCGTGTATGTGTGTCTGGGTATGTACTCTCAGAAGACAGAAGAGTGTTGGAGCTGAAGTTACGGGGGATTGTATGATTGTATGGCCTTGCCTTGGGTGCTGGGAACTGCAGCAAACATTCTTACACTCTTTTTTTTTTTTTCGAGACAGGGTTTCTCTGTATTGCTTTGGAGGCTGTCCTGGAACTCGCTCTGTAGACCAGGCTGGCCTCGAACTCACAGAGATCCACCTGCCTCTGCCTCCCGAGTGATGGAATTAAAGGTGAGCGCCACCAACACCCGGCACAGCAAACACTCTTAACCACTGAACCATATTTTCAGTCCCATGCATTTGTATTTGTGTGTGTGTGTGTGTGTGTGGTGTGGAGTTCAGAGAACAACCCACAGGAATCAATTCTCCTTCCAAATCAGGTCAACAGCCATGAGGCAGGTGCCTTTACATCTTGCCAGCCTCAAATACCTACATATATGTTTATTTATTTATTTATTTATTTATTTATTGGTTTTTCGAGACAGGGTTTCTCTGTACTGTTTTGGAGGCTGTCCTGGAACTCACTCTGTACACCAGGCTGGCCTTGAACTCACAGAGATCCGCCTGCCTCTGCCTCCCGAGTGCTGGTATTAAAGGCGTGCGCCACCATCACCCGGCCATATATGTTTTTTTTTTAAAGTAAACCAAACAAATGTAGCAATGCACCTGGCATAAAGATAATATTGCACAATTCTGATGTCTGAAGTGTAAATTCCTGGCATTGCTAAGCTGTTGAAGCTCTCCAAACTTCCACTCACCTCAGACACGTGCAAAAGAAACTGCTTACCCACACTCATGCCAGCAATGTTCGGCATGAATTTAACCACTACCCCCGCCAAAAAAAAAAGAAAACAATGTAACACAGGTAGATTCCTGCAACGGGTCTTTTTCTCTATCACATAAACTTGGAGATGTGGTTTTGGAACCTTCAGATTCAATGAGACACATTGCCAGGTAACACTAGAGGAATGACATTCACTCCAACTGAAAGACAGCTGTCTCCCCCAACCCCTGTATCCCCAAGGCACTCCCCCCCCCCGAGTCAGAGCGCTCCCCTCATCCCTCATCACATCCTCGGCGGCTGATCCTGGTCTGGCCCCTTGCATCAGTCTATGAAGTTTGACCCTGTCGATCCAGCACCAAGGACAGAGCCTGCCCACAGTAGGTGCTCTGATAAAACTGGTCGGGTTGCGCTCCAGGGGGCTTACCATAGAGGGAGAAACTGAGGCTCAGAAAAGAGAGACTTGGTTGCCCAGGCAACCAAGGGAAAGCGGGAGTCGGGCTCTCTCATGGAGTGCGGGTACGCTCTCAAGCCCGCATCGCTCACTGCTCCGCTCATCTCCATCTCTGCCTCCTCCAACTCTCCTTCCGACTCAGCAGCCCAGCACAGTGCCTGGCACCGGCGGGCTTGGTAAATGCCTGCTTGTTGAAAGAATGAATGAATGTGTGTTATCTGTTGGGAAATGGAGGGAGGGGTGGAAAGGGGGATCCAGAGTCCCAGGTTTGCAGCCCCCTCTTCCCTCTGAGGGTCCGAAAGACGGGCCCTTCAGCCCCTTCCTCTCTCAGGATCCAGGAGCCGCAGCAACCTCACTCTCTGCCCCCCCAAGGTCCCTGTCCCTCCGCTTCCGGCTTCTCAGCCAGTCTTTCCTCTTCTAGCCTCCGACCAAACACCGGGTTTCCGGGGGGGAAGGCTTAGGCTGTAACACTGAGCCCAGCCTCCTCCTCCACCCCCTACCACCACGCTCAGCCCCCTCCCTCCCTCCCCGCCACCACTGTCCGCGATCGCCCGGCAGCAGGAAAGGAAGAAAGGAGCGCAGGAGGCTGAGGTGAGACCGGCGCCCAGAGACTGGGGCGAGCCCCGGGCCCTGCGCGGAGCGATCCGCAAGGCCGCGACCCGCCGCCCCAGCTCTGCAGATCATACCTACCCGGGATAGATAGCCCCCTTTTGGACCTAGGGCCCCCCGACAGCCTGCAGGCTCCACGCCCTCCCCCGACACCACGCCCGGCCAGGGGTCTGGCCACAGCTATCGCTACCCTGGGGATATATTTTTTTTTTTCCAGCTCATCTCCAAGCCCCCTCCTCTCCCTTATCTTGTGAGGCAGGGTCCCCCTACCCAGGTCCTTCCTTCACCCAGACTCAGGGGTGCGTCTACCTGCAAGAGTCTAGTTCGCCTCTCCTGTTCGGTCTGAGACCCAGGAGTTGTAGGCTTCAGTCTTCCTGCCTGAGACGCAGGAATCCAGGACCCAAGTCCTCCTTCAAGCTCAGGAGCCAGCCCCGGCCCTCCTCCCTCAGACCCAGGAGTGCAGACCCCAGCCTCCTCCCTCAGGCCCCATCCCTCCCAGCCCCTGACTTCTGGGTGCATTCACTTCGTCTTCAGGGCCTCTTGGCTGAATCCCACCCCACTTGGGCCCCAAGGGTGGACTGGTTCCCCATCCCACTGAGAACGTTCCAGCCCCCCCCCTGGGCCCTAGAGCAAACTCAGTTGGCTGACTTTGTCTCCCTGTCTCCTGTGTATTGTTCCGTCTTCCTGTCTGTCCCCGCCTCTGATGTCTACGTTCTCTCTCTGTCTCTCCCCCTGACATTTCTCCCGGTCCTTGTCTCTCTTCCATACTCCACAACTCTCCCCTCCCCTTCACCGCCTCTGCCCCATCTCTGCCTCCTCTCCACGCCCCTCCCCTGCTTCTCACCTGTCTCCTCTTCTGGACTTTCTCTCTCCTCCTCACCACACCTTCATCCCTTCTCCCCACCCCTGCCTCGTCCCCCTTCCCCCCTCCCCACAGGCATGGATCCACAGCCCCCTCCACCTGCCCAGGGCAGCCCACCTCACCGTGGCCGGGGCCGAGGTCGTGGCCGTGGCCGTGGTCGAGGCCGTGGCCGTGGCAGAGGGGGTACCGGAGCCCCTAGGGCCCCTCTGCCCTGCCCCACCTGTGGTCGCCTCTTCCGCTTCCCTTACTACTTGTCTCGACACCGGTTGAGCCACTCGGGCCTGCGGCCCCACGCCTGTCCCCTGTGCCCCAAAGCTTTCCGCAGACCTGCCCACCTGTCCCGCCACCTCCGTGGCCACGGGCCCCAGCCCCCGCTGCGCTGCGCTGCCTGTCCACGCACCTTCCCGGAGCCGGCCCAGCTCAGGCGCCACCTGGCCCAGGAGCACGCTGGTGGCGAGGTGGATCTGTCCACGGAGAGGGCCGTGAAGGAGGAGCCCGGGTCCAGTTGGGGTCCACAGGACGAGGGTGTGGAGCAGCCCACCACGGCAGTGGCTGGGGTTGCGGAGGAGGCGGCGGCGGCGGCAGCGTGGCCCGAGACGTGGCCCGCTGGGGACCCGGCCCCGGTGGCTGCCCCCACGAGTACCGATCCTCGGGAATCGGAGGCCGAGGAGGCCGAGGCCGGGGCAGCGGAGCTAAGGGCAGAGTTGGCACTGGCCGCGGGGCGACAGGAAGAGAAACAGGTCCTCCTCCAGGCCGACTGGACGCTGCTGTGCCTCCGCTGCCGCGAAGCCTTCGCCACGAAGGGGGAGCTCAAGGCGCACCCGTGTCTGCGCCCCGAGGGCGAACAGGAGGGCGAAGGGGGACCCCCACCCCGCCCCAAGCGACACCAGTGTTCTATTTGCCTCAAGGCTTTCGCCAGGCCCTGGTCCCTGTCGCGTCACCGGCTAGTCCACTCCACCGATCGGCCTTTTGTGTGTCCAGACTGCGGCCTGGCCTTCCGCCTGGCCTCCTACCTCCGCCAGCATCGCCGCGTCCACGGTCCTCTCAGCCTGCTGGCCCCACTGCCCGGGGCCGCTAAGAAGGACGACAAGTCCTCAGGTGGACGGAACTCCGGGAAAGGGCCTGAGGGGGGCGAAGGGGCAGAATTTGGGGGTGCATCGGAAGGGGGTGAAGGCGGGCAGAATGGAGGAGATGCCACCCCAGCCCGGCCACCCGCGGGGGAGCCACGCTTCTGGTGTCCCGAGTGTGGCAAAGGTTTTCGACGCCGGGCACACCTGCGTCAACACGGGGTCACCCACTCCGGGGCACGACCTTTCCAGTGCGTGCGCTGCCAGCGGGAGTTCAAGCGACTGGCAGACCTGGCCCGTCACGCACAAGTCCACGCTGGGGGTCCCGCCCCGCATCCGTGCCCTCGATGCCCACGCCGCTTCTCCCGCGCCTACAGCCTCCTGCGTCACCAGCGCTGCCACCGCGCGGAGCTGGAACGGGCCGAGCTGGAGAGGGCCACCGCCTTGCAGGCGCTGCAATCCCAGGCCGCCCAGTCACCCCAAACTGCGCTTAAGCAGGAGACGGAAGGTCTCCCCCTGTCCATCGCACGCATCAAGGAGGAGCCGCCCTCACCCGGCTCCCCGCCTCAGTCCCCGCGGCCTCCCCCTGTGTTTCTCAGCGCCTCCTGTTTTGACAGCCAAGACCATTCAGCCTTTGAGATGGAAGACGAGGAGGTGGACACCAAGGCCCACCTACGTGGGTTGGGGGGCTTGGCCTCCTGACCCTCACATGTACCCTCCGCCCCTCCACGTGAGCTCCCGGTTTGCAGTAAAGAAGACGGAAGCTGGAAGAGATAATCTCCTCTGTCTACCCCCGAGCCCTGGGTCACCCACCTTCCCTTTTACCTACCCCTAGACCCCTGATGCTGGTTAGGAAACACTCACCCCAACACGTGTCTTAAGTAAAGGCAGGACAAGGCGGAGGGCACTTGGCCAGTAGGATAGAGACTGGTGGGTTGGCCCCGGCCTGCCCGTCCCCCATTACAAACACTGGACACCATCACCTCTTTGGAACTGCCAGACCCCCTGGTGCTACCCAGTGAGAAAGGTCTGTCCCCCGTTCCTCTGTCTCTGTGAATAAATGTGAGTTCGTGCAACCCGCGAGTGAGGCTGTCTGTGGCAGTGGGAGTTGGGGGAGTCAGGATTTGCCCCTGCTTGGGTTCTGAACAAGGATGCTCACACACCTGATCCCAGGAGGATGCTCCATCCGGAAGAAGCAACAAGTCCGTGAACCCTGTGTGGAGACCGACGTTGAGTGTGCTGGGAACGAACGCCTCGATGACACCGCTCAGGAATCCCGCGGGTGCACTTTAGCAAATCAGCGTGGTATGCACTCTTTTCATTTCCCTAGGGCAGATTTCTAGGCACAGGATTACTACTCCGGGTGGGAAGTCTACAACCCCCTTTCTGGGAAAGCACTAGATGTTTCCCAAAGTTCCTGTTAACGATCGTGAAGGTGACAGGAGTCAGTCTCCATTTTCCTGGGGAAACCCGAGAACCAGATATGATCTGAGTTGGGCGGGGTGCTACAAAGCTGTAATCCCAGCATTCAGGGGGTGGGGGTGGTAAAAACGAGCCTGTGACTTAGCCAGAGTCGCACAGCAACAAGTGGCACCGCCAGATATGACTCCAGTCACGGTGGTTCCATAGCCCACGCTCCTAGCCCCTATTCAGTGATGGGGGAAGTTCTGTGTATATGTCAATAAAGCAATGTTGGCCAATAGGGAAGCAAGATAGGTGGGAGGAGTCGAGGAGGATTCTGGGAAATGTAGTGAACTGAGCCAGCGCCATGTGATTCCTAGGAAGAGGGGACATTCTCGGAAAGATAAGTCCTTATAAATTTATATATTGGTGGGGCTGGAGAGATGGCTCAGAGGTTAAGAGCACTGGCTGCTCTTCCAGAGATCCTGAGTTCAATTCCCAGCAACCACATGGTGGCTCACAACCATCTGTAATAAGATCTGGTGCCCTCTTCTAGTGTACAAGCATACATGCAGACAGAACACTGTGTACATAATGAATAAATAAAATTAAAAAATATAAATCTATATATACTGGTGATTATGGGTCAATAATTAAGTCAGAGATAGCCAATGAGAAACAGTAGCAAATGGCCAACAGTTTCATAATTAATATACTGTGCTGTGTGTTATTTGGGGGCTCAGACGGCTCGACAGGGTGCAGGCAGCTGGCGGGGAAGACAGCTCGTTACAATTCAGTGATTCATTCCATCTCGTGGAGCCCCTACATCGTGCAGGGCATTGTTCCGGGTGCTCTTCATTCTTCTGCCGCTAAAACACACCATCCTTTCCCAAGGTGTGGCTTCCATTCTAGTGGGAGGTCATGAACAAGAAGATGAAGCAACTGAGTAATTGTAGCCCATCTTGGGGCTCGTGAGGCAGCTCAGTGGGTAAAGGCACTTGCCGCTGAGCCCGGACCTGAGACCCAAACGATAGGGGAGGAGACTGACTCCTCCTGCAAGTTGCCCTCTGACCTCTACACGATAACCATGGTGTGTGTGCACACACGAACGTACACACAGACACCCACACACAAAGTAAATAAATGTAAAAAATCACCACCTTATTAGGAAGAGATGGAGAAAGGCGATACAGGGAAGGGTGAGAAGCACAGACCCACAGGAGCGGGATTGAAGGAACGAGCCACTTGGGGGTGTGTCTCAGGGAAAGCACAGCTGTGTCGAGGTTCTGAGGCTGAGGTTTACATGCGACTGGCGTGGTCAAGGAGCAGAGAGACCAACTTGGCTGTAGAGGGAGAAGTGCGGGAGGAACAAGGTGGGGACTGAAGAGAAGGATCAGAGTGGTTAAGAGCACTCATGGGGCCGGGCGTTGGTGGCGCACGCCTTTAATACCAGCACTCGGGAGGCAGAGGCAGGTGGATCACTGTGTGTTTGAGACCAGCCTGGTCTACCGAGCGAGTTCCAGGACAGCCTCCAAAGCCACAGAAAAACCCTGTCTCGAAAAACCAAAAAAAAAAAAAAAAAGAGCACTCATGGGGGCGCTGGAGAGATGGCTCAGAGGTTAAGAGCACTGGCTGCTCTTCCAGATGTCCTGAGTTCAATTCCCAGCAACCACACGGTGGCTCACAACCCTCTGTAATAAGATCTGGTGCCCTCTGCTGGCCTATGGACATACATGCAGACAGAATACTGTATACACAATAAATAAATCTTTAAAAAGAAAAAGTGACTTCTTAAAAAAAAACACTCTTTTGATGGCTTTGCAACAGACCCTCGTTCAGTTCCCAGCACCCACATGTCAGCTCGCAACTTCAGTTCCAGGGTATTCAATGCCTTCTTCTGACCTCCGCAGGCACCAGACACACATGTGGTGCACGTGCAGGAAAAACATGCATACATGTGAATAAATCTAAAAAACAAAAGAGTGGGAGGAAGGGAAGGCAGGGGCGAAGTCTGGGAGACGGTGGAAGGGTCGATACAGACCGCGTTTCAGCCTTTGAGCCCAAGGGAAATGCTTTCACGAAGACGCCAGAAGGATTTGGCTTTCTTCCTTCTGTTTACCATGGTTTTGTGAAAAATTTTAAACAAATGAAGGAATGCATGCTGGTCTCCTAGAGTCCAAAGTTAGTACTTTTCCATGTTGGCTTCTTAGTAAATCAATCCGTTATTTCATCTGTCTGTCTTCATGTATCCGTAACCTATCCATCCACTGTCATATCTGTGTGTTCATTATCCATCAGTCATCATCTGTTCAGTTATCATTCATTCACACGTCATTTGCTGCCCGTTTACACCTATATATCACCCATCCAGATACCCAGCTCTCCATCATCCAATCTGCAATCCATTCGTCCATCCGTCTACCATCTATCTGTTACTTATCCATTTGTAATGGCTATTCTTGCATTTGTCACCCATCCACCCATCATCCTTGATTCATCTCTCTGTCATCTATTGATATCCTTCTGTTATCCATCCACCCATCCATCCATTCACCCCCAAACCATTCTCTAATCATTATTCACCCATCCGTTACCAACTTATTCATCCATCCCTTTATTGTCCATTTATATCTATCCATCATCCATTCGTCTGTCTATCATTATCCATCCACAGTTTTTAACTTAAAACCTTATTTTAGAGCAATTGGAAATTGCGGTGGTTTGAATCAGAATGGCTGCCATACTCTGGTATATTTGAATACTTAGTCTCCGGTCGGTGGAGCTGTTTGGGAAGGATCAGAAGATTCGACCTTGTTGAAGGGGGTGTGTCACCGGGAGTGGGCTTTGAAGTCTCCAAAGTCCATGCCGTACCCGGTGTGGATCAGGATGTGAGCTCTCAGTTACTGCTCCAGCACCATGTCTGCCTGCTGCCATGCTCCCCTCCGTGATGGTCACGGACTCCAGCTCTCTGAAACTGGAAGCCCCAAGTAAAGACTCTCTTCTGTATGCTGCCTTGATCATGGTATCTTATCAGAGCAACAGACAAGTGATTTAGCAGTGTTAAAAGTATAGCATTCTCACACATCTGTCTTTTAAAGAAAGGTTCATTTTAAAGCTATTTACAAGCACCATTTCACTACAAACACTTAGGCATGCGCATCATAGCAAGTGCCTAAGCTTCTTGTCCTGAGAAAAATTTAAATATAGGGAAACACGCATGTTATGTCTGACAGATTTGTCAAAGACACATAGCTAAACAGAGCAAAGTACTCTCTGATGTAGAGATTCCCCCTGGCTTCTGAATACTTAGTGAGGAGAGTGTGTGCTCCCCTACCCCAAGTAGCCCAGGCTACCTTCCAACTGGTGATCCTCCTGCCTAAGTCTCCCAAGTTCCAGGGCTACAGGTGTGAACCACCATGGTTAACTGATTTGCTTTACTTACTTTCATTTCATTCCTTTTCAATTGTTTACACTTATTTGTTTACATACAGTGTACGCATGTGTGCATGTGTGCCCAAGTGTATGGGCATGTGTGCCCCGGCATGTGTGGCAATCGAGGACACCTTGCAAGACTCAGTTCTGTCTTTTGCCCATGGGCGTCTCAGAGATTGACCTCCAATCATCACTGTCCCACATGATACTCTTTTAGACCTAGAACCTGGACCGGCACCCTACTGCGGAGACGCATCTCCAGCCCTTTGCTGCTGGATTCTAGACCAAAACTGCACCCCTGAGCTATATCCCGAGCTCTCTCACTTTAAAAGCATACTTACTTTATTTTTATCTTGGGTATACGTGGCTCTCTGCATGTGAGCATGTGGCTGTGGTTGTCCAAGGGGGCCAGGAGACGGTGCTGGACCGATGCCCTGAGACTTGAGTGACAGGTGGTTGTGCCCCTTTCTGCCTCTTTGTCTCTCTGTCTCTGTCTTCAGTTTGCCTCCCCATCTGTTTCTCTCCGTACAACCCATTTTTTGTATCTGTTTCTCCTTCCCCTCCCCTCCCTTCCTCTTCTCTTCTTTCTGTCTCTGCATTTCCCATCTCCTTATCTCTATTTAACCCCCACCTTCTTCGAGAGCAACAAGTGTTCTTAACCACGAAGCCATCTTTGCAGACTCTTTTCACTGTTTATTTTCCCAGAATGGCCATGATCTTTGGGTCACATCTTACTCACAAGGCCCAGCCTATACTCTGTTGTGTTTTATTTGGTGACAGAGTATCGTGGAACCAAGGCTACCCTTGGATTCCTCACCCTCAGCCTCTACCTCCCTAACTTAGATTACAGGCACATGCCACCCCACCTGGACCTGGTTTTGTGTTTCAAACAAGGCCTTCCCATACAGCTCAGGCTGGTCTTCAACTCCATCCTCCTAATTCAGCCACCCCAATGCTGGGATCATGCACTGCCCAACCATGGTGGCCTAGCTTCTATTCTTCTTAAACAAGTCACTAAACAAGTACACGTGGGGAAGAAAGGAGTGGCAATTAAGCTCCTCGAAGAGATGGAAAATTCTAGAACAACCCTTTGTCTCTTGGTAGAAGGAAGTGTTGTCCCTTCTCCCCATGTCCTGGTTTAATTATTCATTCGATCATTTCTGTGCTTCAGGTTGCCTCGCAGGCATTGCTTTATAGGTTGGGTAATGTGTGTTTTATAGGTAGGGTGATGTGTTTGTTAGCTGAGTGGCATCCGTCCAGCTCCATGTTATTTACTTCGTTGGAGCTAGCCTGTTGTGATGTTGGTGCAAACAGGAAAACAAACCACAGTGATCCAGACCCAGACACACCCCTCTCCAGGGAAGCAGAGTCTGCAGGAACAGTAACTTGCCAGGTCCCTAGCGGGAGAGCTGCGAAAATTCCCCCTCTGGCTCTGGAATGTGACCCGGCAGCACCCCCCAGCCTCTCCAAGCCTTATCTGCCACCGCCCACACTGTGCCAGGCAGGGAACTGACTGGGCAAATACTCGGCGGCCACCCTCGGCTCCCGCCCGGCACTGTGTGGAGGAGAAGGGAAATCAAGGGAGAGGAGGAGGGGATATGAGGAGAAGTGGCCAGTGATGGGAGAGAGAGAGATGAGATGAGAGGATGCAGAAACGCAAAGATTCAGAGACGAGGAGAGAGACAGACATGAAGAGAAAGACAGAGGCAGACAGACACAGAGAGACAGAGAGATAAGGAGAAAGCCAGGAAGAGAGACAGAGTTGGAGAGAGGGACAGATACACACACACACACAGAGAGAGAGAGAGAGAGAGAGAGAGAGAGAGAGAGAGAGAGAGAGAGAGAGGGAGGGAGGGAGAGAGAGAGAAAGGGAGGGAGGGAGGCACGGACGGACGGACGGACAGACAGACAGACAGGAAGATGGGGAAAATACAGAAAGAGACAGGAGGAGATAAAAGAGAAGAGAAGGCGAGAGGGAGAGGGACGCCTACTCTGTGTCCAGATTGCTGCTCTCCTCGGTCACTGCCATGGAAACTTCTGGGGACAGACAGGGACGTCACTTTGTCTGTGTCCCTGCCTCTGTCCACTCCTGGCACAGCCCAGCTGTCACCTCTCACAGGTTTGATGGGCAGTTCTCTGCCTGGAGCAGCCCTACCCTTCCCTGCAGGCCTCAGGCCTCGCTGTAAATGCTAAAGGCTCTCACCTCCACCTATGACCCACCCCTGACCCCTGCTGCCCCGCCCCCGGCCCCCCCCCCCCGTGGGACAGAAATGTGAGCTGGCCCCTAGGATCTCTGAATTTGTTTATTTCATCTGAGGCTTTCCCAGGTGCAGTGGTCAGGGACTTGGCAGGTGACACTAACCAGCCTCCCTGAAGCCCAGGGAGATGGCTGTCAGTGGGCGTGGCCTCATCTGATGAACTCCTAAAAGGAACTCGGCTCCTCCTGCGGCCTGAGGATGATTCCACCCGTGGGGGGCGCTTTGCTGTTGACCTTGAAGGTGCACATCCATGCCACATAGCAAGGAACATCCCATACCACATAGCAAGGAACAGCAGATGGCCTCTGAAACCGAGAGCAGTCCCTGCCCATAGCCAGGAAGGTACCAGGGACACTAAAACCTCATTGCTAGAGTCGCATGGAAATGGGTACCACTCCAATCTGAATGAGCTCCAAACACGGAGCACGACCCAGCCCAGCCAACACCTGAGTTCAGTCTTGGGAAGCCTGCAGCTGTTCCGGATTCTTGACCCACAGAAAGAGACAGCACCTTCGTGGGTGCCGTTTCAGGGTTCAGCGTGAAAAAGGAACAGTCCTCCGAGCAGATGCGTTAGCCCTGCCCGTTCCGTGAGTCTCATCTCTCAGCTGCTGTCTCTGTCTCTCCCCAACACTGTTTCTTTGCCTTTCTCTGCCTCTGTATCTCTCCCCGTGTCTCTCTTTGCATCTTTCTGTGGGTCTCTCTCTCTCTCTCTCTCTCTCTCTCTCTCTCTCTCTCTCTCTCTCTGTGTGTGTGTGTGTGTGTGTGTGTGTGTGTGTGTGTCTTCATCACCTACCATCATGTCTGCCACATCGTGTCAGGAGTTGGATGTCATTCACGTAACTTATTGCCAGCACTATTAACTGTGTCACCTGGCCGAGGTGTGGGTAGGAGTTCTTTCTCTTTAATTCCAGTTTGTCCCCTCTCTGCCTTCATGGACACACAACATCTCCCTATACCTCTTTGTCTGCACATGACCATCTTCCCATAAGGGCAGTTGTCATTTTGGCGAAGGGTCCATCGTAGTTTTGTTTCCTGTTGTTGTGGTAAAACACCCTGACAAAAGCAACTTCACGGAGAAAAGTTTGGCTCACAGGTCCTGGTTCCAATCCATCATCACGGGAGATCCAAGGAGCACAAATTTGAAGCAGCTAATCGCGGCGTATCCACAATCGGGAGCCGAGAGTGGTGAGTTAATGCTTGTGTCCACTTCACTCTCTCTGCTCTTATACAATGCGGCATCCTCTGCACAGGGGATGGTACCACCCACAGTGGACAGGTTTTCCCAGTTCGATGAACACAATTCAGGTCATCTTTCACAGAAATACCCACAAGCCAACCTCATCCCCCCCCAAGATCCCAGACTGTGTCAAATTGACTGGGGGATTCTAGGCAGGTGCTCTACCACTGAGTCATTCCCCCAGCCCCTCACTGGGGGATTCTAGGCAGGTGCCCTACCACTGAGCTACACCCCCAATCCCTCACTGGGGAATTCAAGGCAAGAGCCCAACTCGGTAATGAAAGGTTGTGCAGGGGAGCTACTCAGTTGGTGAAATGCTTAACTCGGAAACATGAGAACCTGACTTTAATCTCCAGAATTCACAAAATCTCCAGTTGTGATGAAGCTGGAGAAACAGATGGGATCGCTGGGTTCTCTGTTCAGTCAGTCTAGGCTTATTTGCGAGGCCCAGGCCAATGAGAGATCTTATCTGAAAGGACATGGACACATTGTCATGGGTGGCACCCGAGGTTGTCCCCTGGTTCACACACACACACACACACACACACACACACACACACACACACACACACACACACACACTGTTTGGAGGAAAGGATTGAAAAGAGCTGGGGATGGAGTTCAAGGACAAAGTATCTAGACTTCACCAGTGAGGAGCTAGGGCAGGGTTGTCTAAAATGCATCAAAGAGTGACTGGGGTGTGGCTTAGTGATAAAGCTCTTGCCTTGAATTCCCCAGTGAGGGATTGGGGGTATAGCGCAGTGGTAGGGCACCTGCCTAGAATCCCCCAGTGAGGGGCTGGGGGAATGACTCAGTGGTAGAGCCCCTGCCTAGAATCCCCCAGTGAGGGGCTGAGAGTGTGACTCAGTGGTAGAGCACCTGCCTAGAATCCCCCAGTGAGGGGCTGAGAGTGTGACTCAGTGGTAGAGCCCCTGCCTAGAATCTCCCAGTGAGGGGCTGGGGGTGTGGCTCAGTGGTAGGATCACTAACCTAGTATGTGGAAGTCCCTGAGTTCTACCTTCATTATTGCAAAAATACATAGATACATACATACAGTCATTAATTTTAAAAACACAGGTCAAAAAAGATGAAATTGATCATCACTGAAAATAGTTTTCATCAATTTTGTTTACTTATTGTGTGTAGGTGCTGTATCACGGTGCATGTGATGATCAGAGACAACTTGCAAGAGTCATCTCTCTTCTTCCATCGGGTGGGACCTGGGGGTTGACTTCAGGTCACTAGGACTGATGGCAAGGCCCTTTGCCAGTGAGCCATCTTGTTAGTCCTGAAGATAATACTTTTATACGCAGAAGGGGAGTCAAAACTTTGAAATGAAACCGGCAGAGGTGGTGGCAACCACCTTTAATCCCAGCACTGGGGAGACAGAGCCAGGCAGATCGCTGTGAGTTCGAGGCCAGCCTGGTCTATAGAGATAGTTCCAGGGCAGCCAGCGCTACACAGAGAAACTGTGTCTCAGAAAAAAACCAAAACAACAACAAAAAGTTTGATGATGGGGCTGTCCTTCTGTGTATATGTTTCTCTTATGATGAATAAAAAACTATGTGACTAGTGGCCAGGTAGCAGGGATAGGCAAGGCTACCAGAGGAGGACAATTCTGGGAAGTGTAGGCAGACAGGAGTTCTGATGATAGCCCAGGAAGAGAGACGTGCAAGGTGTTCTCCGGTAAGCCAAGACCACATAGAAATACACAGATCAAGAGAAATGGGTTAATAATTAAGACAGAGCTAGCCAATAAGAAGCCCAAGGCACTGGCCAACAGTTTTATAATTAATATGTTTTGTGTGTTTATTTGAGGGCTCTCAAGGGCAGCAGGACTCTGCCAGGACAAAGAACCTCTCATAACACTCACTTTGAAATGAGGCTGGAGGTGTAGCTCAGTTGGTAGAGTTCTAGTCTGGCGTGCACGAAGCACTGGGTTGGATCACCTGCCCTGCGTAACTTAGATGCAATGATCCCAGCATTCAGGAGGTAGAGGGAGGAAGATCTGAAATTCAAGCTTATCCTTGGCAACACAGTGTTTTAGAGGCTAGCCAAAAATAAATGAGGCTGACAGGGTGACTCTCCTGTTTAGATTTTTGTCAACTCTATACAAGCTGGAGACTGTAGGACATTTTTTTGATTAATGATGAATGTAGGAGGGCCCAACTCACTGTAGGGGTGGGGCCACTGCTGGGCAAGAGAACCTGGGCTGGATAACAAAGCAGGCTGAAGCTGGGTGGTGGTGGCGCATGCCATTCATCCTGATGCTCAGGAGGTAGAGGCAGGGGGATCTCTGTGAGTTTGAGGCCAGCCTGGCCTGCAGAGAGAGTTCCAGGACAGCCTCCAAAGCTACACAGAGAAACCCTGTCTCGAACAACAAGAAAGGGGGGGGGGAGAGGAAGGAAGGAAAGAAAGGAAAAGAAAAAGAAAGAAAGAGAGGGAGGGAGGGAGAAAGGAAGGGAGAGAGGGAGGAAGGAAGGAAGGGAGGAAGGAAGGAAGGGAGGAAGGGAGGGAGGAAGGAAGGGAGGGAGGGAGGAAGGAAGGGAGGAAGGGAGGGAGGAAGGAAGGGAGGGAGGAAGGGAGGGAGGGAGGAAGGAAGGGAGGAAGGAAGGAAGGGAGGGAGGAAGGGAGGGAGGGAGGGAGGGAGGAAGGGAGGGAGGGAGGAAGGAAGGGAGGAAGGAAGGAAGGGAGGGAGGAAGGGAGGGAGGGAGGGAGGGAGGAAGGGAGGGAGGAGGAGGGAGGGAGGGAGGGAGGGAGGAAGGGAGGAAGGGAGGAAGGGAGGGAGGAAGGGAGGGAGGAAGGAAGGGAGGGAGGGAGGGAGGGAGGAAGGGAGGGAGGGAGGGAGGGAGGAAGGGAGGAAGGGAGGAAGGGAGGGAGGAAGGGAGAGAGGAGGAAGGAAGGAGGAGGGAGGGAGGGAGGGAGGGAGGAAGGAAGGGAGGAAGGGAGGGAGGGAGGAAGGGAGGGAGGGAGGGAGGGAGGAAGGGAGGAGGAGGGAGGGAGGGAGGAAGGAAGGAAGGGAGGGAGGAAGGAAGGGAGGGAGGGAGGGAGGAAGGGAGGGAGGGAGGAAGGAAGGGAGGAAGGGAGGGAGGAAGGAAGGAGAGGGAGGAAGGGAGGGAGGAAGGAAGGGAGGGAGGGAGGAAGGAAGGGAGGGAGGAAGGAAGGAGGAGGGAGGGAGGGAGGGAGGAAGGGAGGGAGGAAGGGAGGGAGGAAGGAAGGGAGGGAGGAGGGAGGGAGGAAGGAAGGAAGGGAGGAAGGGAGGAGAGGAAGGAAGGAGGAGGGAGGGAGGGAGGGAGGGAGGAAGGAAGGGAGGGAGGGAGGAAGGGAGGAGGAGGAAGGGAGGAAGGGAGGGAGGGAGGGAGGAAGAGAGGAGGAGAGGGAGGGAGGAAGGGAGGAAGGGAGGGAGGGAGGGAGGGAGGAAGGAAGGGAGGGAGGGAGGGAGGAAGGGAGGGAGGGAGGGAGGGAGGGAGGGAGGAAGGGAGGGAGGAAGGGAGGAAGGGAGGGAGGGAGGGAGGAAGGGAGGGAGGGAGGGAGGAAGGGAGGGAGGAAGGAGGGAGGAAGGGAGGGAGGGAGGAAGGAGGGAGGAAGGGAGGGAGGAAGGAAGGGAGGGAGGGAGGAAGGGAGGGAGGAAGGGAGGAAGGGAGGGAGGGAGGGAGGAAGGGAGGGAGGGAGGGAGGAAGGGAGGGAGGAAGGAGGGAGGAAGGGAGGGAGGGAGGAAGGAGGGAGGAAGGGAGGGAGGAAGGGAGGAAGGGAGGGAGGGAGGGAGGGAGGAAGGAAGGAAGGGAGGGAGGGAGGGAGGAAGGGAGGGAGGGAGGGAGGGAGGGAGGAAGGGAGGGAGGGAGGAAGGAGGGAGGAAGGGAGGGAGGAAGGGAGGAAGGGAGGGAGGGAGGGAGGGAGGGAGGGAGGGAGGGAGGGAGGGAGGAAGGCTTCACAGGCTGGTGGACAGCGTTCTCCCACGGCCTCTGCTTTAGTCCCTTCCTCTAAGCTCCTGCCTTGAGTTGCTGCCTTGGCTTCCTTCAGTGAACTGTGACTCAGGACATATAAGCCAAATAAACACTTTCCTCCCCAAGCTGGTTTTGGCCATAGTCTCTATCACAGAAACAGAAAATAAACCAAGAAAATGGCTGAGCTGGTAAAGGTGCTTGCGGAGCAAGCCTGAAAACTTGAGTTCAGGTTCTGGGACCCACATGTTGGAAGGAGAGAACTAACTCCCTCAGACTACACGAACTGCCCCTGCTTCATGCATGCACGCAATAAATAAAATGTATCAAAATCAACTGATTAAAAATTAAACGTTTAATATGATCGGTGGTTTCCCACAGGCTGTTTTCATTATAGTTTGCCACTACCGTGTGAACTCAACCAATAACAGTTGCTAACAGTCACTTTTAGAGTGTTCTCACTATCCACAAAAGAAACACTAAACCTTTTAGCTCACACACACACACACACACACACACACACACACACGTTCGTACGGGCCCTTAGCAACCAGGGATTTGCTTCCTGTCTATTTTTGTTTTTGTTGGATGGTTTTGAACTTGCTATGTAGCCAAGGATGGCCTTGAACTCCTGAGCCTCCTCCTTCACCTCCAAGTGCTGGGATTACAAGTGAGCAACACTGTGCTGGGTTTTGTTGTTGTTGTTTTTTTTAATTTTGTTTTTGTTTTAAGACAAGGTTTCTCTGTGTAGCTTTTGGAGCCCAATCTGGAACTCACTCCGTAGACCAGGCTGGCCACGAACTCACAGAGATCCTCCTGCCTCTGCCTCCCGAGTGCTGGGATTAAAGGCGTGTGCCACCACCACCCAGTCTGGGTTTTTTGTTTGCTTTGTAGATGTATTTCTTTTAGTTTATGTGCATGACTGGTTTGCCTGCAGATATGTGGGCATGGATGTGACACCACATACGTGCTTGGTGCCTACAGGGGTCAGAAGAGGGCGTCAGTTTCCTTGGAACTAGAGTTACAGTGTTAATGAGTCACGTTGTGAAAACCAAAGGAGATCTTCTGCAAGAGCAACACACATTTGTTTTGCTTTGTTTTTGTTTGTTCGTTTGTTTGTTTGGTTTTTCGAGACAGGGTTTCTCTGTATTGTTTTGGAGCCTGACCTGGAACTCGCTCTGTAGACCAGGCTGGCCTCAAACTCACAGAGATCCTCCTGCCTCTGCCTCCCAAGTGCTGGGATTAAAGGCGTGCGCCATCAACGCCCAACTGACTCAAACTTATTCTTAATTTCTGGGCCATGTCTTCAGTCCTACCCACAATGCCTCATTTTTTATGCTGGATTGGAACCCAGAGCTTCCCAAGAAATCACTCTGCTAACTGAGCTACATTCCCTGCCCTGTCTCTGTAGTCTTGTGACTGTTTGTTTGTTTTCAAGTGTGTTTTTTTTTCCTCGTAGCCCAGGTTGGCCTTGACACAGTATACCCCAGGCTAGCCTTGAGCTGCAGATCTTCCTGTCTCAACCTCCTAAAGGCTGATGTGACAGACGGCCACGGCTACCCAGTCTCTCTCTGTTGCCTCTCTCTGTAGAACGTGTGTGTGTGTGTGTGTGTGTGTGTGTGTGTATCATCTCTGTGAGAGCGGCTTGCCGGTTTTGTCTCTGCCGAAGCTCAGAATCCCCCTCACCACTTGACACATAGCGGTGGGGTAGGTGCTCAGTAACTATTTAATCTCCTTGTTCTGATAAGACCCCAGTCCCGGCTGCGGCGGCCTCGATTCCTGCTCTTGTTTGTCACGTGGTTTTCCGTTCAAACACCTCCTCCCTCTTGTCCCAGCAGGACTGTTGAGGGACACTCTTGGGCTTGACTCTGCCACCTCAGTTAGATCAGGCACTCCCCGTTCCATGACCACGGACAAGCCTGTCGGCACACTTTGCAGACACCCGTAGGGCAAAGACGGACTCTATCTGCTGTCGCCCTGAGGCCGGGCCCCCTACTCCTGGCTCTGCAGCTTTCACAAAACCCAGGGAAGTACACATTGCGGATGAATAGAAGTGAGAGAGAAAACAGTAACCACGATTGACATACATCCGCCCCTAGCCCTTGGTTCACACACCTCTGCCAAGGATGTGAGATGCAGAGGGCGTACGTGGGGGATGCCAGCTCTGCCACTGACCCCCCCCCACCCTCCATCCCCCAACCCCCCACCCCCGGGCAGGACAAGGAGCGGCAGACTTAATCTCCACAAGTCTCTGTTTCCTCAACTATGAAACGGGGCTAAGAATAGGACCGACCTCCCTGGGGCTGCCACGAGGATTAACACAGGGGCTGGTAATACGCAGAGTTCAGTAAATACCAGCTAGAATTATTGCTAATCGCACAGGATTTATGCCGCCATTAGACCCGCTGTGTTTTGGACGCCATCAGTGGGTCTCTTCATTCCACACCCGTTTCCTGAGATAAACACAGAGAACCCAGCGTGCCTTGGGCGCTCGGAAACCTTCCGTGTGACTGGGGTGTTGGGTGAGATGGGGTGAGACGGGCGATAAGACCGAGCAGGTGCCAGCCCCGAGCGATCTGGGGCCGGGATGGGTACTTTGGACTCTTCCAAGAGCAATGGGGAGCCAGGAGGGGCTACGGAGGAGAGGAGAAGCCTGGTCAGAGCTGAACATCATTTAGAAGCCCTTTGGGGCTTGTGGTGGGCAGTTCCAGGCTGGAGATGGGAAAAGGCTGGGATGGGAGACGGGAAAAGACCGGCCGTTTAGGAGTGGATGAGTTCTGGAGGGAAGGGAAGCCGCCTGGGGTTGAAGACAGTTCTTGGTTGTTTTTTTTTTTTTTTATTCTTTACTCTTTTGCGGAGCCCGCCGCCCCGCTCCCAAATAAGACCCATGGAGGCTTAGTATTTCCTATGCATGCCCAGGCTTAGTTTGGCTCGTTTCTAGCCAGCTTTTCTTAAATTATCCAGTCTGCCTTTTGCCTCTGAGCTTTCATCTTTCTCTATTTCTTTTCTTTCTTTTTTTTTTTTTTTTTTTTTTTTTACTTCTTGCTGTGTAGCTGGGTGGCTGGCCACGACGTCCTCCCCTCTGTTTCTTGCTCCTCCCCCCCCAGATTTCTCCACCCATGTATTGTCTCTGCCTGTCAG